GCAGACGGGGTTGGGGCAAGTGGGATTTGCCGGCCATGTCCATTTTGGGAATGTGACCTTGTGGATCCTGGTGCAGGGGATAGCGCTGGCCTCGTTGGGCTTGATTGTGATCCGTTTTGTTGTAAGTTCCCGTTCAAAGTAGGGGAGGACTGATGGCCATCACCTCTGTTCTGGCCATTACTGTTGATCTGGCGGGGAGGGTTCCCGCAACGATCCTTTCCAAAATTGATTTTGAAACGCTTGTATTCCTCCCGGCTGCGCATTGCCTCAATCGCCTTGATGGCATTGGCAATGTTGGTAAAGTTGACGAAAGCACAACTCTTCTCACGCAAGGCATTGACCAATTCGATTTCACCATACGAAGAGAAATCTTGGCGAAGGCGTTCTTCGGTCCAGGTTTCATCCAGGTTGCCGATATACACATTGCGCGATGCCCCGCCACTAACTGCCAACGCGATGGCAGGTGGAAGAGCGCCGGAATGTTTGCCCCAACCAATCTTAAGTCTCCTGTTATGGATCATCAAACCCTGTAAGTTGCTAAGAGCATAGAAGGAGGCGGCAGATGTCGGGTCAATAAACGTGACGAAACAAATGTGTTTGTCAGGAATGTAGCGGATGTGGTGCAACAGGCCGCCTCGTACGACATTGCAAATCTCCTCAATCGTCGTTTCAGGGTGGATATTTCCCAAGTAAACGGTTCGGTTTCCCAGATTGTTTACACCACCAGCGGAGGTGGCAACAGCGGCCGCTGCAACAGATTGCTGGGCCAATGCATTTGAGATCAGATCACGATCAGCTGAGTTGAGAATGTGAGCATATCCTGGAGCGATGCCGAGATACTGGGCAGCATTCTGCTGCTGGGTCTTGGAAACATAGGCGCAGCGGTCCTTCCCATAGTAGACACGTTTTGGCGCTTGCCACTTCGTCTCTTGGGGTAGCTGGGTAACAGCCTTAATCGCATTGCTGATGGACAAGAAATGCACAAATCCAATCGACTTCTCTTTGACAATCTTGATCGTATCGATTGGCCCAAATTTACCCAGATCTTCCCGCAACTCCTCCTCAGTAACATCCTCCGCGAGATTCCCTAGGTAAACGTTTCTCGAGGCTCCGGATTGCTGGACCGCCAATGCCACGGATGTTGGTACCTGTGATGGCTTACCCCAGCCGATTTTGATATCATTTCCCTTAATAGCAAGTTTCTTCAAAATCGCATCGGAGTGAAAGTGAGTGGCTGAACTGCTTTCCAAGAACGAGATAAAAGCACAGTTCTTATCCGGAAGCAACCGAACTGACTCGATCTGGCCACTACGAACATGGCCTAGGATCTCCTCTGCCGATGTTTCGGGAGGAAGGTTTCCCAGATAAACGGTCCGGCTTGTTCCCGAGATAATCCCTGGTCCCTGGAGAGTGACATTCGCGGCACCAAAAGCTGCATTGGCAAATCCAGGGAAAGAACCAACTGGAGACTGAGGGCCAGCCATGAGCTGAGAGGCATTGAATCCATCTGGTGACATCAGGCTTTGGTACAGCTGCGGTGAGAGAGCGTTCTGGTGAGCCTGAGTAGGGCTGCCCATCTGGTTCTGGTTCTGGTTGTGTCCTGACCCATTGGCCTGGGGGAAACCTTGGAATCCAGTGAACTGGGGAGAAGTGAAGGCAGACGGCGTGCCAGGCTGGAATGGGCTTCCAAGAAGAAGCTGAGATGGGAGGAGCGGGGTGAAGTTCATATCAAAGGCGGCCGTTCCTGGGGCAGTCACCTCCGCAGGGTTTTGTCCATTCATACCGGTATTGATGGAAGGGATATTGGCTCTACGAGAGTTGCGATCGCCAAATCCCATGTTGTTTGAGGTGTAAGCTCCGTGAGAGAAGCCAGTGGCGTCAGCATTCATAGTAGGAAGTTTAGAACCTGGCTGCTGCATTGTAGAATTTGGTGATAAGACGGAATTATGGTCGAGTACGATCCAGGACGGTATTATATTGATCGTGTTTGATAGGATCACAGAGAGAAAATATCAGCGGTTCCAGTTATATGACACTGCTGGGTTCAGTTGCAGGAGATTGTAATTAAAAGAGGGTATGTAGTAAATGCAGCCGCTTATGGAATTCGACGGGGGAAACGAAGAGATTTGTGTGGGAAAAAAGCTAGGTAGAGACACAATATTAGTTAAACTGAAGAACAAATCCATGTTATGGGCATGGAACGATGGGAGGAAGTTGGCAGGTGAAGTCAATGTAAAGCCGGAGAGGGGGAGAGGGGGGGGGGCGTGAATGCGGTTGGCATTTCACTGACACCATCCTCATGCTATTTGAAATGAGATACAGGATCCATCCGGGATGGGCTCGTTTGGGGGCTGTTGTTCCTTACATAGATCCAGAATACAAAACCACGTTTCCGTTTTGCTAGGTTTATGGGCGGGAATCTCGTCCAAGACAAAGAATCGGCAGAGCAGCGGATATCCTCCAAAACGGACTGGGTATGGTATGGTGATTTGGAAGGGCGAGATTAACACGATATCGCGAAAGGTGAAACAAATTCCGGTCAAAAAACAAAAACAATGAATATATATAAGGATAAGAAGGGGGTATGGTATTATAGGAAGTGAGCCAAAAAAAAAAAAAAAAAAAAAAAAAAAAAAAAAAAAAGCGAATAGAATAAGAAAAAGAAGAGGGCTAAACGAATGTCGAGAAACGAGAGTGGGTAAAATGAACGAGAGTCGAAGCGATGCCGAAGCACCGATATAATGATAAAAACAAGTAATTAACAATGTAGAGACAGGTGGATGATAGAAGAAGATGAAGAAGAAGAGAAGGCGGAGAGAGGATGGGGCATGAAGAGACGAACGAGCGAGAAGAGGAGGGAGAGGAAGAGGAAGATGAAGTTGGAGATGAGCAGGCGAGAACGAAAAGGAGAAGAAGAACAAGCGGCGAGTGTGGTATTATTGGCCGTATTCCTGGTATTGAGGTAATACTGACGTATCATGTACTGTACTGTATATACGAATACAGATCCCCCTTTGCCGCACCTCAGCTCGGCAGTTGTGAGGTGATTTCGGGCCAATCCATCCTTTGATTCTTCTGGATGCGGTTGACTATTTATTCAGAAACAGTATCAATTACTTTCAAGCACCTGCCCTGGCTGTTCATGCGCAGAAGATATTGTAATCCTTCAATTCTGATGCCCCTAGTAAATTTAAGTGTTCAGTCCGTCTGGGTATGGATGACAATACCCATTCTGCCAAGTAACTACCATTGGAACTTCCTGGTTGGATTGAGCAGCGATAGTCACTTAAACAGCTCACTTAAGATTCACAATTGAATATCTGTACAAAATATTTGATGTCATTGATGGAGTGCTAACTTCTTCATTCTAACCTCCACCCTCAATTTGCCTACATATCACCATACCTTACTGGCCAGCGCCTCAGGGGAAGAAGCCAATAAACAGGGTCAAACTCCCTGTCAGCCGCGATGGTGCCTGGCTATACCTAGTTAATAGTTAGTTACAACCTAGCGTTGTTCTTTTTATATTTCAACATTTCTCATTTATACGGCGCGCTTTTCATACGAGTTTACATACTCCGTACATACTCCGTACATACGAAGTTCCATCCCGCCGACCTGAGGCTTCAATGTTTTTTATATGCCCCCTTTGTGGGCCTGACTTATTTCTTTACCATCATTCTACATCTTCGACAAAGAATATCCACCGCTTGCAGCTGGGGAATAATACAACCTATCAAATGCGATATCCAGTGCGCTATCTCTCCTAGCGCGGTGGTTCCCAGGCAAGCAGGTCCTGTTTCAGTGTCTGGTGTACCACTCCTAATAATCATCACACTCCGGCATCAAGATATTTATATCCCTGAGTGGATCCGCTCGAAGGGCCCGAGTTTCGATTGAGATGTTTTGTAAAAAGAGCAAAGGGGCCCCTCGTTCATTAAAGAGCAAATCCAGAGCGTGCTAAAAAAGCCCCCTTGAGAATGGCACCGCCATCAAAAATCTCATGCAACATCATTCAAATCAAATACCTTTAAAATTAACCTTCCCCCCCCCGAAAAACTCACTTGCAGCAATTCATACATATGCAGGCGCTGATGGCGGCTGTGTGACAGACTGTGACCTAGAACGTCTCCCTTGTCTTTTCCTCCGTCCTAGATTCCTAGTTTCTGGGGTGTTACGGATTAATATATGCGTTGAACGCAGCAGCAGCGTATGCCAGAGCGGGCGACCGTGCATAGGATGCCTATGGGTTTCCTGTCCACATGGGAATGTGCTCGGACTGCATGTGCATGCTATCTATGTATGTGATGTGTCAAAGGCAAATCTGCAAACATGATATTCACCCGCCCGATCACCATGCCATGAAAAGAGGTTTCACGTTCTGCATCATGGGTTCCCTTAACAGAAAATCCTCTCCAATATGGTCGGTGGCGGGCTTCTCTCTAGCTATTTCAAAAAAAAAAAAAAAAAAAAAAAAAAAATACTTGTCTAACCGTGCCATGCTTACTCACTCTCTGTAGTGAGTGCGCCACAGCGTACGGAAAACCACACTGTAAAGAAAATATTTTCAATATCTTCATTCTTCATCTTCAAATAATCATCATTAATTATAACCATGCCTAAATCTTCTAATTACACTGAGGAGCAGTTGCAAAGAGCTGTTGACGCGTACAAAAGCAATTCAAAATTAAAAATCACATCTCTGTCGCGAGAATTCAAAGTCCCATATGCCACCTTGTATGGGAGGATCAACGGGAAGAAATCAAGGACTATGAGGGTTCCACTGAATCGAGCATTGAATGACAGCCAGGAAGAGGTAATTAAGATATGAATTCATCAGTTGGATATTATTAATGAGGCCGCCTGCTACAGATATGAGCAGTATAATGACAGACAATTCCTTGCTAATCTGAAGAGTGTCTGACTGTAAGCATTCAAACCTGACACTGTGAGAGCTGGCTTTGCTGACTGTGGAATGTATCCAGTTAATTGCGATATAATTCTCAATTGATTGAGACCTCTTACCATTGATGATGCCCCGGATCTCAACATATATGATGGTGATGATGATGTATGCAATCACTTTACCCCGCCACTGTCTCCTTGCAATTAACCTCCTCAGAGATGGTTGCAAAACTATGTCATCAAATCAATGCAGCAGCCAAGACCTTAGAAGATGTGAAGAATACCCTTACACCTGGTTTGACAAGGTGGTTGAACAAGATCTTCAAGGGTAGCATGATTCAGGTGGAATTGAATGCGCACCGTGAGGATGAACTTGCAGTTCATTATCAAGCAAATAGATGTTGGATTGTCAAATCCTCCCGCAGGCAGGTGCAAGTAGGTGAAGTCCTCACTATTAAGGATGTCAATTGCAAGATCGCGACCTGTAGAGCAGATGAGATGAAAAAGATGTTCAATAAGACTCTTCAATTGATTGGAATCAAACCTACAAAATCTACAGCCACTCAACCACAACAAGATAATTCTATAGAATCTCAATCTACAGTGGATTCTACACCTTCTAATGAGTATATAGATAATCTTTATGTTATAGATAGATGTGGTGGTGATTATTAATTAATTTTTGAAGATCACTATATTCAAAATATTTTCTTTACGGTGTGGTTTTCCGTACGCTGTGGCGCACTCACTACAGAGAGTGAGTAAGCATGGCACGGTTAATAGTAAGGAGAGGAAGCAAAGAGTCGAAGGGCCACTCAATGCGTGACTGACTGGCTGGCCCTTGACCTGGAGCAATACCTATAGAAGCCCAACCCTGTCAGATACCACAGGATATCACGAGCAGAATATCAGAATGTCGAACATACCTAGGCAGATATAAACAATATTCAAAACATCTCATGACTGCTCTACCCTTTCTGCCCCTTACATCACACTTCCACAACATAACGAATCTCCTCTGCACCTGCGGTAACTACTCGAAACAGCGTGCCGAGAACGGATGGTTTGTGCAAGCGTCGTCTGTGCTGGTAATATCTCTACCCCCGCCATCAGCTTTTCTAACGAGAACGGCAAAATGCCCGTATCTACTCTGTAGCTCCGTTGGAAAGAAAGAGCTTCAATCAGCAGCTGCCCGCCAGGTTTACCTCTCGCCAAAATCTCATCTGCTCTTCTCGCTCCTCTATTTTAGTTTTTCTGGCTTGCGGGGAAATGGCATTCATGCATCTCTACTATATCCCTTCCTCATCGCGGAATGACATAAACGCGTATGATAGTAACCTCCTCCCTGTTATTTTCTTGTATCAGTCACTACGAATCAACATCGATCATCGAGAAAAATGTCGTTTACACCGTTTTTGTCGTGTGGATTGATCGCGATGCTGGCTGGTTGTTAGCTCCGCTACCGTACTTACTAGACAAGCGTTGCTCTCATGAAATTCTCGCTGGCATCAGTTGACTACCATGTATGTTTCTTTCGCATCACTACATACCTATACGCCACACAGGGGGGGGCTCTGTATCACAAATCCCTTCATAAAAGGGGGCAAAAATATCGATCGCAGTTGCAAACTCGTGAGAAAACTTGGACAACGCATATCCATAGCGTGGCCACCCGTTACATGAATTCTTTTTCGCAATGATGCTAGCCCATCGCATTTTAACAGATGATGGTATGTATGATAGACGGGAAAAAAGAGGGAAGAGCGTCAAAACAGTCTCGCTGTTGCCCATTACCCTGGGTTCTGGGTGGGTCTGTATTTATATATGAATGTGTGAGATCGGCTACATCCACATCTTCAAATTTGGGCATTCAGGGCGGGGACGCGGGTTTTTGGCTGTGTCTAGGATTGTAAGGCGATAATACCTAGACGCCTATTAATGATTGACATGCTTCTTTGAGAAACCCGTGACGTCAATATACGCATTCGCCCTACGAATCTTCGCTTGAGCAGTTTCTAACCATCCTCCCGTGGCCAGACGTTGCATCACTAAGTGGTCTGCAGTCTTGCGTACCTGACTTTGGCGAGTGATTGGATATGTATCAATTAGCCCAATCTTCCGATCTTTTCAATTCATGCATTCCCTTTCGTTGTCGTTTACCAGCCACGAGACAGCAGGGGCTATAGAGGCAGGGAGCTGCGGCGTGTGATGCGCAGTGCTAGATTGACAAAGAGAGATCAGATGTTTTCCGCGAGCAGATGGGTCCCAGTCAAACGTATCGGCTGGTAAAACGGCTTTCATCGATAGGGATTGATTGCACACACATATGTGTCTATCTATCTATGCGGTGTGAATTTGAGGAATGGATGCGAAAGAAAGCAAACAAAGGCAGGCAAGTAGGACCCTGCACCCTGAAAAACGGGTGAGACGACACTAATTGGACGTTTTATTCTGATGCTCCTTTCTCGTCCTCACCCTGGCATCACCATCTCAACGGATTGATATGATTCCACATCCAGTAGAAGGACATCGGCGTAGACCGAAATTGTTCTCAGTCAGATTAATCTATGCTTTAAAATCCTTCATTTTCTAGTCTGCTGTCTCAGGTTTCATTTCAGCAGTAAGTAAATTGATATGTTCAGAGAGCAGAGCTGCCTTCTCAATATTCTGAATCATGAAACATATTCAAGATTTGAATAAAATTTCAATCTTCTTTTTCTCTGTCAGCTTCTGTTAATTAATTAGAGAATAAAAGTATTATCAAAATTCATTATCTTTTAATAAAAAGTTTATCAATTTTGACTTTTTCATCTTCTATTTTAACACTCTTTCAATTTTCTTCTATTATTATTTATTTACAGTAACACTTTTCTTCTCTCTTTTTTTATTCTACTCTTTTACAGAGTCTTTTTCAAGTATTATAATGTGTTTTACAATCTGTTTTTATATTATAAAGATAAGTTGTTTTTATTTCTTTTTTCTCTCTTTTCTTTTCTTCAAATCATTACTAATTTCAAGCTAATATGAAAAGTATTAAAACACTCTTAGAAATTCTTAAATTGAAGAGTATAAATTAATTAAATTTTTAACAAATGTAGAAGAAATCAAATTATTTTTTATTATATTAATTACTTACTTTTTCTTATAAAACAGCAGTTATATCTCTCTTCTCTTTTAATTAAATATAGTCTGAGAGAAGCAATTGCTGTGTTAGATTATAATACTCAATACACTCTCAGTATACAGAGCTGTATATATACAGTGTCTGATGAATTAATAAGTTATATAAGTTATATATCAGTGATAACATCTCAATGAGAACTGTGTAGTGTAAGAAAGCTGCAATTCTCAGCTATATATATAAAAAGTAAATCACTGAAGTAAGTGTATATATATTGTATAAAAATAACACTTTTTAATAACACTTAGTTTCTGATATTATGAAAATAAAGTCTCTCTGTAAGATCTGTTTTTATCAGAAGTTAAGAAATTTTATATTTTTCAAAATCATTTTCACATGTTTTATTCATAAAATTAATGAAGAAAATTATTAATTTCAGTATTCTGTTTTTAATATAATTTAAGTGACAGCTGAGTTCACTCTGATCACACTTTTTAAGTGTATATTTTCTAATTATTCACATTTGTACAGATATATACTGATTATTTATTAAATAATATTAAAATAATAACTTATTACAGCTATGTAGACTGACTGTGTAATTATATCTAAGATCAGAATCAGAATTTTTAATAGTCTTATTATTAATTTAACTGATTTCATTACATAGTTTTGATATTAAATAGTAGTTTCATACTGTCTTAGTAAGACTTACTGTCTACTCTTATCACATTTTTCAAATGAGATCATGATTTTCACTTCTCAATTTAAAATATTTTTATTGCTTTAAATGACTTTAAATCTCATTTGAGTATTATCAAAAAGTGTTACTTTTTAAAAAATTAAAAATAGTCTAAAAAAAACCTTAAAATGTCTAAAAATAGTAACTTTATGTCAAGAATGAGACTAAATGAAATCAAATAAGATCACTTTCTTATTTTTTTCAAGTTATAGTTTCATTTTGAGATCTGATATATAGTCACTTTTAGACTGACTGCTGAAATCATGAATTTTATATTTAGTCTTATTTAATCTGATCTCATACATTTCTTAATATGAATTCTGCTGAGACTAGTTATTAAAAAAACATGCAAAGTGACTATATATCAGATCTCAAAATGAAATCATAACTTGAAAAAAATAAGAAAGTGATTTCTTTGATCTTATTTAGTCTCATTCTTAGTATAAAGTTACTATTTTTAGACATTTTAAGGTTTTTTTTTACACTATTTTTAATTTTTTAAAAAGTAATACTTTTTGATAACACTTAAATAAGATTTAAAGTCATTTAAAGCAATAAAAATAATTTAAATTGAGAAGTGGAAATTATAGTCTTATTTGAAAAATGTGATAAGAGTAGATAGTAAGTCTCACTGAAATAGTATAAGACTACTATCTAATGTTAAAACTGTGTAATGAAATCAGTCAAATTAATAATAAAACTATCAAAAAATCTAGTCCTGGTCTTAGACACGGTCACACAGTCAATCTAGTCAATTTGCATGTTTTTTTAATAATTAGTCTCAGTGAGATTCATGCTAAGAAATGTATGAGATTAGATTAAATAAGACTAAATATGAAATTTATAGTTCTAACAGTCAGTCTACAGCTGTGTTACTCTCACTGTGAGAAATACATAGTTAATAATAAATATTGTAAAAACTTTGAGAAATAAGTATTTTGAAAATATATGATTCAAAGATTAATTGAGTTAGTGTAAGATTACAGCTGTACACTGACTTCTTATATGTAAATTAATTAGTGACTATTAGAGATCTCTCTTATATTTATAAGTGTATTCAGAAGCATCTGTATTATTATTCAATAGCTGTATATTCTTTTAAATTACATTCTCTTTTATCAAATTTAGTCACATTTATATAATTATAACATAAGCTCTAACTTCATGTAAATTAGTATACTACTATTATTCGCGATTATACAGTCTATCTCTAATTTAACTAGTGTCTTACTATTATTATTATTATTATTCTTTCATTATACTCATATGCAAGCGGAGCTTATAATGAGTCCTTGCATAATGTTAAATACAGGTTAAGTGTTAATTATACAGAAGGAAATACAGGTGTTAAGATCACATCAAGATAACAAGAACATAGGAAATACAAAGAAGTGATAATTAGATACATGCAATAATAACTTCCCAGCTCAGAAACATAGAGTGATTTATTGAAGTGATTTGTACATCTCTGTATTTATTAGAAATCTGAGGTGCTTGAGTTCTGAATTTAATGTATTCTCTGCGGGTTTCAAACTCACACATCTTGGTTTCCCACGCCAAGGCGCTACTGAGTGGCCGTATTAATCATTCAGTCACTGAGGCACTAGTATCTTACTTACACTCTTATAAGAAAGCTTTTACTATATTATATTACTTATTTACTAACTTTTATCATTCTTTAATCATTATTACTATCATTATTATTATTGAATGTTATTATCTTATATAAGATTTCTGCTCTCTCTTTTATTCAATACTTTTTCATCTATTTATTTATTATATTATACATGTTTTTGATAATAGCTCTCTATTTTCAAAGCAA